AAAAGGATCAGATTTGACCCAGAATGGAGGAGTTAAAAGGATAGTATCAAAAAAGCGACAGCCTCCAGAGGTCTCACCCGCAGTGCGCCAAACCATCTTTACGGCTGTGAGGAGAACAGACCGGTGGCCGTAGCCTGTCTTATATTCGAGGACGTTTCCTTGGCCATTAGAGCATCCCATCCACCTGCGCGTGTGGCAGTAAATCATGCGCCCACTAGTTAGCACCGCTGATTTGCTAACTAGTGGTTTGCTATTAGCATAAGACAACTAACCTGTGTTGTATGATAAAATATGTTTTCTGAATAAGAAAGCCCGGTTATATGGCTTTCTTATGATAGTTAATGTAACCGGAAAACTTACCGTTAATAAGGACCCAAAAAGTGATAAATGTTTTCAACAGATGTAAACATAGCCGCTTGTGACGCACTGCACTGCGCATGCGCTTCATCTTCTTCGTGCGTGTTTTGGGTCATCAGACTAGCTTAAAAGGTGCACAGCGCCACCACCCGTGTATGACGGTGTTTATTTCACCATACATGAACGATTTACGTTTACAAACATTTTATGATTCACCTCGTTGCTGGTTTACTTTGTTCAAGGATTAAAAGTCTCCAGTATTGTGCAATAATCTCAAACCACCCCGTATTTCTTCATATTTTGCTTGGAAAATTTGAAATAGGAGATCTTTTAAAACATACAGAGAAATACAGTATATAAGATATCACTTTATACAATTGTAACAAGCGTGAAACTCCATATTTGATAATACCACCATTATTCTTCAACACAGGTTTAACTGTCTTAGGCAGGGTTCTTGTAATTTCTTTAAGTAGTCTTCAGGAATAGTTCTCCAGGCTTCTTGAAGGACATTCAAAGCTCTTCTTTGGATGTTTTTGCCTTTTGTTCTGTTCTCTATCAAGATGATCACACAATCCTTCAATAATGTTGAAGTCCGGGCTCTGGAGAGGAAAATCCATGACTGATAGTGTCCGACTGTGTGTTTTTTCTATCCAGGTATGCCTTTACCGCACAGTATGTGTGTTTGCGATCATTGTCATGCTGAAAGATGAAGCTGTTGCCAATCAGACGCTTTCCAGGTGGATGCGTGGTGGATCAATATCTGACCTTACGTTTCTGTGTTCATAATTTCAACAAGATCCTGTAGATACTGCCTGTTGTTACTCTCTCCTGACCTACACATTGAACCAAAGATTTCTAGTTTGGATTCATCACTCCTTCAGACCTGTTGTCTTTCAGTCCAGTTCTAGTGTGCTGGGTTTTTACCTCAGACTTTTTTTCCCCCTGTTTCCCTTCTTTAAAAGTGGCTTCTTTATAGCCACCCTTCTAATAGAGACAATTTATGGTGAGGCTTCAGTGAACAGTAGATGGCTCAAGTGAACAGACAGATTTCTCAGGTCATGAATCAGGTCTGAATGTCTTTCTATTTCCTAAGAACATGACTTTCAAATACAGTTCAGCTGGCGCAGATATTTTTTAGAAGCCCGCTGTTGCTTTTCTCATCCATCACTTGTCCACTTTCCTCAAATTTATCAAGGATCCACTGCACATATGGCCAGGATATGTCAAGTTTTCAGCTAACAGCTCTTTGTGAATCAGCTTTTTGGGGCAAAAATAATATTTTATTCCTGTCAAATTGTGTTATCGTTGGTATTTTTCTAAGAATCAAATACAGAGGTGGGAACAAATTATGTGTTGTGCACGAACATTTTTCTTGTAAAACAAAGGGGGCCCTAGCAAAAAAAGTTTTGGAACCACTGCCTTAATAAATGATAAGAAAGTCTGGCTACTTGGAAGTAAAATAAATTATAAAGAAATCAGGAATAGCTCAAGACGTCTGCACAAAGAGTAGAGAGAATGAATGGGAAATACTTGTCCTTCATCAGAGGATTTAAAGATGTGATATTTTAGATAAAGCATCTATATTATTTATAGGCACGCTATCGGTTCACCTGTGATTTTATTGCCAAGCGAAGAGAGTGAGGAAGATGCTTCCTGATGTTTAGTTTTTGACAACTCTATTGAAAACTTTGAACAGTTACAAATCAAACAGCTTGTCATCTGGACTGGAGTGAGTGCATTATGTTTATTGCATTTGTCTCATTTTATTATTTATTTATTGCCCTGTGGTACCGTTTCAGGTCAGTCCGCAGTTACTGTGATGTTCATAATCCCTCACCTTCACCTCGGGACTTTAATCTGACGGGTCCATGTGACAATCCAGTATTGTGAGCATGTGGTAGCTGAGGTAATGAAATGCCACGTTTTGTTTATGTGCTTTGTTCAAGTCTGCCCCGGCACATCCAGGGGCATCGGAGGGCACCTGAGCAAGGACGTGCGAGATGACGAAGACAAAGGGCTCAGATTCAGAGATGGGGTCAAGAAAAAAGTACAGAGATGTCAAATGAATTTTGAAGCGAAAACGTTTCTCCATCTTGTCACGCTTTGACCTCCTCATAGGTCCAAAGCTAATATAGTAAGTGAAGACTCTTTGGAACATTACGTGCTGAAACACATTGGTTGAATAAAGCACAGGCTCTTCCAGAGAGTAATCCCTGAACGCAGACAGGTAATAATGTGTGTTGAGCTAAGAGGATGAAGACTTATTATATAATTGGTGTGTGTGTTGAGTCAAATGCTGGAGAATTGGATTCAGTCGTGCTGCTGTGATGCTGTTTTTCTGGTTATTGTTTCATAACATGTCATAGCAAATCATGCACTCCGATAAGAAGGCACACATGCTCACACACAGATGCACGTGGCACTAACACAAACGCTTCAGTCAGATGAGAGAGGATGAGCTGGCAGACACTGTGCAGGAGGCAAGCATCAATACTGATATTGTAAGAGGAAGTTTTTCAGCATCCTTACTGTGGATTGTGTGAAAAAAGATATCTAAAGATTCCTTGTTGCTCTGGATTTGCTTGATTTCTAACCAGATTTCTCTATCTTGGATGTATTTTTTCTTTTTAGCACTGTTTTGATCTTTTCTGCACCACTTTGAGTTTGGTGCAAAAGTCTTTGCCGACCATAATACGAGCATTTTTCCAGGTCTTTTCTCAAACTGTTGTGTTTTTTTTTTTGCTCAGAGACGTGACAAGGCAGGCTGTGTAGATACCGTTTATTTTATATCATTTGGATAAAGCGTGAAGGACACAGCTTATATAAGCGGTATTCATTTTTTACCAACTCTGAAAGGTGTAATTTTTCTGACCTTGCTTTTATTTCTGTAAGATTACTTTCTGAGACTGCCGTGAGAATTTTAAGCCGCCTCTCCACCATGCATAATAAGTCATTTTTGCAGGCTCGCTGTGATGAGCCTATAATTACGTCGGACTGGGGTCTCCTTTTGCTGCTGGCTCTGCTGCTGCTGGCGCTGGTCTACTCCTTCCTTTACCTGCCTGCCTCCGCCCAGCGAGCCCTGCTAGAGCAGGCCCTCAGCAGCAACAACACCACCACCGCCGTGACTGACTGATTCAGGGATGAACCGTGACAGAAGCTTCACGAATGGATAAGCAGACAAGCGAGGCCATCTTACATATGTAAATAGTGTGGACTGTACTGCTTGTCATTTTGCCCAACAAAAATCAAGAAGCTGTAAAGTGTCAGTAAGGAAACAGAGACATGGATACTTGAAGATGGATTTAAAGTGCGTTTATACTTGGAGGGGTTTGTAATGAGCCATTTAGCGCCTCTGTGTTTCAGAGAAGAAAAAAATTATGTAGCTGTGTTGAAGCACTGTACTTTCTGGAGGTCCTACTGGCCATGTTGTTCCCTCTATGTATATTAAAAATGGTATCAGGCATGTGTTCCTGTCCTTCTTTTTTTTCCTCTTTAAACTTTGCCATGTGTTTTCAAGATCAAATCAATATAATGCACTAAATCTGCACAAAAAAGGCTGTTTTGTTCTAATTTCCCAACCCTGTTACAGTCCTGTGAAAATGAGTTTCACACCCTTAATGTTTTTGTATAAATTAAGGAGTAAGTAAGAGCCAGGTGCTGCTAATAACATGCACTTGATTCCCAGATCATCAGGAAGTGTGAGAAACTCTGAACGGAGAAGCTTTGGCAGTTTGCTGGTCTGGACCATTGACAATTCCACAATCTTCCAAAGAGTGTCCCAGCAAATTCCTCCCAAGGTCAGACTGTGAAATGTTCGAGGAACCTGCAAAAAATCCAACAGCTATATCTCTGCCGGCCACAGTTAGCATATAAAAGTTCATGACAGTATAATTAGATAAAGAATGTGTGGCGTGTTTGGAAGTGTTGCCAGGAGAAAGCTCCTCTAAAATCAACATTTTAGCTTGACTTATGTTTGCAAAGTTACATGTGAACAAACCACAATACTTCTGGAACAATGTCCTTTAGGCAAACGACACTAAAGTGAAGATGTTTGGCCATAAAGAACAGCACCATGTTTGGAAAAAATCAACACGATCGCATAGAGTCCTGTGAAAATACATGAGCAGAGCAAAGCACACTTGGGTTTAAGACAAACAAAAAGCTCGGTTTGAATTACCTTTATTAAAAGATACAGGATACTAGATTTGACACCAATATTTAAAGATGCAGCACTTGATTGTTACAGGCTGAGGCATCAGATCCAGAAAACGTTTTTTTTTTTTTCTTCCTTTCTGCTATCCGTGCCTTACAAATGGTTCCCGTAAATACTGTATCCGCAGTATACGACCACTACTGACATCTGGATATCGCATCGCTAATATTTTTTTTCTTTTAATCACATTAAATCCTTAAAAAAAGAAAGAGAGAATCTTGCTAAACCATGCAACACCCAACAAGCCAACATTTACAGTTAGTCTTAGACCACGATGATTCACTCAAATGGTACTTCAGAGTTCAATATGTTCAGCTACAATGAAAATATCATATCCAAAGACTTGACACAATAATGATATTACGTATTTTTTAAGGGACACCAGTTTATCCCTTGATTTACTGCTCTCACATTCAAGCTCGAAAGCTGAATATTATTCACATCTTACGTCCTTGGTATAAGAGAGAGGTTTAGAAAGGTTTAATTTAGTTCATAAGCGTATCAAATCCTTAAGGACTTACATGCATCTCTTTCTACAATATACACAGTTCAGTTCCAGTCGTTCATTGGTCTGCTCCTTCAAATAAAACATGCCACAAAGTCTCGCGAGAACTGGCGCTTCGATAGCAAACACAAAAGTTAAAACACAGCATGTGTATGAAAAACGAAGGCAAAAAGGTCGGGCCTTTTTAGTTGGAGCGTAATCTGGGTTTAGGAGAGATGACGCACCATTATGAGGGGAAGAGAGAATATGTGAAAAGTTATTATAATCAATAACAGAAAACAGAAAAAAAAAACATATGAGAAAACAGAAAACTGAGATGTTAAGAAAGACAGCAAACACAGTGTCAGTGAATCTAAATGATCTAAATGCACCTAATTAAAATGTATCCTATTTTGCTGCCACAGTCTCTCACTCCAAGCAATGCCCTGTGGGTTTCTAAGTGTATGATGCCAGTTCAGAGGCACAATTACGTTTGCTATATTTTGGGAGCAGGTACGGTTGTGACGCCTGTTGTTTCAGTATCTTTAAAATGACGAAATTTTGGACCTACAGTTCCTAAACTTTGATACAAAGTACCCACATTTGTTCACGACAAATAGCGCCAATTTACATTTGTGCAAGATTATTACAGATGTTTAAGGGTGATGCTAAATATGTGCTGTTCCTACTTTCTTTTCTCCTACTCCCAACTGGTCCTGGTGGATGGAAGAAGTTCTTCCTCCCCACCATAGCCAACTGTTCAAAGATCTATATTTGTGAGTGTTTGATGTTATATTTTACTGAGCTATCACTGGGAACATTTTTCAGCTAAATGAGAAAAAACTGAGCACATTGTCACATGTGCTAATTCTGCTCCAGTCTCTACAGGCTAATCTGCCATAAGCTAACCTTTAAAGGTATTTAATTATTAATTTAATAATGATTTGAAACTGAATTGTCCCTTTTTAACTTTGTTGACTGCATTTAAAAAACATTTGCAGGCACACCACAGGCGATCTGTCTTTCAGTTCCCCAGGCTTTTTCTTTAAAATGATTAAAAACCAACAGTGTTCTTTTTTTAAAAGATGTAATGGATTGATTATGCTATTTTCTAACCCACCCTATCCCTGGTAGCAATTACAAGTAACATTAGCCTTATAAATAGTATTTATCTGTTAAAATCTCTAATTTTATCTCTAATCGTATGTGCACTAAAAAATTGTGTTGGTCCCAAAAAATTAAAAAATTGAAACTTGAAAGAAAGAAAGAAAGAATGTTACTACCTAAAAATCTCTTATCCTTAAAGCGTACAATGTTAAACACCGAACACCGAAATTTCTCATCCGTGGGATAATAAAGGTTTATTCTATTCTATTAAATCAGGGCTGGACAGGGTAAACAATGATCTTGTCCCTCACTGGTATATAACACTGTTATAACCCACATGTTATAAGCACACCTATTCTCTCCCACCCAGTGACACCCAGACATCAGCTGCTGTATTACTTAGAAACAGATGAAAACTCTAAACTGGTTCTGAGTTGTTTATATTTCTGCAGTTGCTTCTCAACCATTTGCAGCAGAAATGTGAGATACGATCTTGAAGTGTAAGTCACCCTAATTTTAAGGAGGAAAGTGTACCACAGGTGCACTTTGTGATTTTGAGTTTTTTTCAGCTAATCTGGTGCTTAATTGCCTCGATGAGCTGTCCCTGCTGCCGAGTTCACTCTGTGAATGGACCAAACAACGTTTTCTATCACCGGCATGTGCCTGCCCCTCTCATCTTCACTTTTGTCTGTATCTCTGCTTTTTAAACCTGAAATGCTCTGATGTGTGAATTCAAAATCCCTCCTGCTGGTTCTGCAGGAGGTTTCTTCCTGTTAAAAGTGAGTTTCTTCTTCCCCACTGTGGCCAAGTGCTTGCTCATAGGGGTTGTTTGATTGGTGCGATTTCCTTTCTAATATTGTAGCGTCTTTACCTTACACTATAAAGCACTTAGAGGCGACTGTTGTTGTGATGTTGCTATAAAAAAACCCTGTTCTAACGTGTGCTGCAAGCTGTTCAGGACATCTTGTCCCAGTTAACTCTATAAGGATAAAATAAAAAAAGAATAAATCCACCTTACTTACTGGACACAACAGCAGTCTCTGGAGTTTGTTTCCCTTCAGCTATAAAAACAATTTTGCCATGTTTATATTTTATTGGATTTGTGCCTTGAACGGATTAAACACCCTTTCATTACTTGCCTACATGCGCCATGAGGAAGGAACTGAAAGCAAGCGGAAAGGGAGATTTCAGCATGTGGTTAACTCTGAACAATAGCAGAGAAAGAGGGCATTGTCTTTTCTAAAAGTCTCAGTCACTCGTGGTTTTCTGGAGGCCTGCATGTAGTGCACTAAACGGAAAAGGAGGGAAAAGGTGGAAGAGAAGAGTTAGAAAACTTCTTGTTTTGGCCACTGCAAGGTAGCTCTCATGAAATGAAGATGACAGAGACAAGAGGGGATGAAGAATAGACGTGAAAGAAGGAAAGAGAGCAGAATTATTACTCTCTCTCTCT